CCCCTCTTCCCCTGCCGTCCCTCCTCCTAGCGCCTTCACGGCTTCCCGGAATGTCTCTGCTCTGCATGCCCAGTCTGGAGCCTGTGGTTGGTCTGTGCCCCTGGTTCCTACTTCTGTGGCCTCCCCTGTCTCTGGGTCTCCTCCAACCTCCCACCATTGTAAGGAGGCCCTGGCCGAGGTGGGACTTCGTCTCACGATGATGCTGTCAGTGCGTCTGTCAGCTCTGTGGGACTTCCTGGCTCTGCGCAAATTGCATTCAGGCTCTTTCACTCTAAGTGTAGGTGATCATTCCACTTCCTGTCGCCTTTTTCTCTTCTTATCCCATGACCTTTCTCACCTCACTCTCCACTTCCTCCTTCCGTCATCTTCCAAAACATATGCAGGCCAGGCCCTCACTCTCCTCACTACCTGCAGGCCTCTTTCCCTTGCCCTGCTGCCGCTACGTCATCTTCAACCATATGCAGGCCAGGCCCTCACTCTCCTCACTACCTGCAGGCCTCTTTCCCTTGCCCTGCTGCCGCTCCTCACACTGCACTCCATCCTCAAAGCCGCACCTTCTCCGTGGTTTCCGGTTTCCTGGAAAAGAGGCTGCACCTTTCCAGCATCATCTGTCAGGAAACAACACTCCCCAGGTCTTTTTCTTGGCTGCATCCTGCCATTGGCCCTGGATTTCTGCTCCTGAAATGCACTTCCTGTGGTGTGCATCAAGGTCAGCGTCTCCTGTACGTTAAGGGATGTGTGTCCCATCCTGTGCGGACAGGTTTGCTCTGCCCTGCATTACTGGCCTTGTGTCCACTTCCTGTGTCCACCTGAGGCTGTGGACACCTGTGATCAGGAAGCACTCAGTGATCCCCTCTCCATGGTGCACTGCAGGACAGAGCTGTTACGAATAACAGCGACCTAAATAACTTGGGCTGCATGATCTGAGGCTTTGCTTCTGTTTAAGTCTGGTGACCCGGCAAGGGAGAAAGACGTAGGAAAAATGTAATATTCTCTACAAGCTAACTTTGGGCTCAGTAGATAGACTACTGGATTTAAATAGTCCTTTAACTCACCAGCTGTGTCGCACACAGTCTGGCTGTATTCAGAGTAACGCCTCTCCTGTGCTATGACCTGAGGAATGCCAGCCTGCTATTTCCTTGGTGTTTTGTGTGTGTTTGTTTGTTTCCTTGTTTGTTTTCCTTGCTTCATTTCACTTGTGGTTTGAAAGACTGCAGAGAAATGCAGCTCATCATAGAACTAAGGAGGCTAAGATGTGTGTAAAAGCATAGAATATAATCCTGCAAATTAGGACTTTGTAAAATTGTAGGTGATTCCATTTTTTTGGAAAAATAATGGGTGGCCTTTTTATGCAGAGTCATTTGGCATCTTTCTGAGAGCCTAGAAATAAATTTAAAAGCACCATAACATAAGCAGTCAAAGGCATGGTAAACTCATCCTTTGACTTTTCTTTAACTTATCCTAAGAAGATTGTGGGACTTATTTGGTTCAAGAATGAGAAATGAACTCCAAGTAAAGCTTTGCTGACTTTGTATTCGTAATGCACTTTCTCTTTCGCTGTTTATGTTTAGAAGATAAATGGTCTACCTGGATATTTTCTGTGCCTCTTGTTTTCGGGTGTCTGTTTGAAGGGTTTTGTTTTGTCTTGTTTCTCCTTTAATTGGCTGCACAGGAAGACCCATCCTGCATTGTGAGTTCAGCATTTCCCTCGCTGTCATCCATCTCATTGTCAGTGCCCACACAGCATGGCCAGCGCCACATCTGCCTCCTGTACGGTGCCACCTCTCCAAATACAGAAAGCCCCACAGAGCATGCCCATGTGTTCCCACCTGGTGCAGGGATGGAGAGCGGACGGGCCCATGTCCTCACGTGACACTGAACAGTTTCCTCTTCCTCTTGGTTTCCCATTACAGATACTGCAATGAACATTTGCTCTGTCCGCCGCACATGTTCTGGACAGGCTGGGGCCCTTGGGAACGGTGCACTGCCCAGTGCGGGGGTGGCATTCAGGCTCGCCGCAGGACCTGTGAGAACGGGCCCGACTGTGCAGGCTGCAACGTGGTGAGTAGCCTCCTCCTCATGCCCAGCCCCCCTCCAGAGCTGGGTGCCCAGGCTTGACAGCGGCTAAGTGCTCTGCACACACTTGGTGTTCTTCATACACTAGACACCTTGTACACACTAGGTTCTGGGCGCACACTGGATGTGTACACACAAGGTGTCCTGCCAGCTCTTTGTGCTCTTTGGGTCTCAAATGCTCCACAGACCCCACGTGTGGAGACCCTGACTGTCTGCAGACACTGCACGCTGTACATACTGGATCTCCTGCAGTCGTTGACCGGCTGTTGGCAGTCTGCTGTGCAGTGTTACATTCGTGTGGACACACTGAGTCCAGGTACCGGGTGCTCTGCACACGAGAGAAGCTGCACATTGTACAGGTTTCTTTGGTCAGTGGCAATATCTATACGGAACTCTGAACATTCCGGGTACTTTAATTAATTAAATATTCACATAGAGAATAAACTGCCCCAGGACTTTTCCAGTTCTGAGTCCTGAGCTATGACAACACCTTCCGCCAGCTGACTGTGATCTCCATATTTGACTTGGGAAAGAGGACATGCCCCGTGCCTGGCTCTTGACAGAGCACAGAGTGCAACACGAGGGCCTCTGTCCGAACTGGTTGGTGCCAATGCAGGGGAAAGACAAAACAATTGATGGCTTTGCTCTTCTTCCACTGAGTAGGCCATATATCTTTTAACAAAAGGAAATTATGCTGCACTGGCGCTTTTCACCAACCCCTTGCTTGTCCTCACTCTTCTGTGAGGGTGACAGCCCCGCCACCTGCTGGCTCACACCTCGCTCACCTTCCCTGGTCCCGACTGCCATGCAGCACCTGCACACTGGCCTTTCCGGTCTGTGCAGCACCTCCATCCCTCAGCCCGTGAGACTGCGCCAGGAGGTCTGTGCCGCTGTAAAGCCTGCCCTTGTGAGTCACTGAACTCCACGTCCTCACTCTTCTGTGAGGGTGACAGCCCCGCCACCTGCTGGCTCACACCTCGCTCACCTTCCCTGGTCCCGACTGCCATGCAGCACCTGCACACTGGCCTTTCCGGTCTGTGCAGCACCTCCATCCCTCAGCCCGTGAGACTGCGCCAGGAGGTCTGTGCCGCTGTAAAGCCTGCCCTTGTGAGTCACTGAACTCCACAGCCCAGGCTTCCTTGGGGATTTCAGGGAGAGGTCGGGAGCTAAGAAATGCTTTACCATGTCTTATAGCAGACCTATGGAGTGTTTGCGTTGGGACCCAAAAAAGGAATTTCCCCCTTCAAGCTGGCAAAGATATCGCAGTGGCTCTAATTGACAACTTCTGATCACAGAGAGTTCTTCCCAGGTGATTCTAAACTAACTCTAGACTATGAAAAATCCAGTGTGCAGGGTACAGAAACAATCTTAGTTGTTTAAATAGGTGCAGATAAGTAGGTAGGTAGATAGGGAGATATGTTTCAGATGCTAAAATTCAAAATTAGTTATTAAAATGAGAAGGATAAATCTAAACATGTGCACATGCCTGGAACACCACTGCAGTGAGGGACTTTTATCCTTTGCTAAACTGCCTCGTCTGTTCCTACTAGCTTGGTGTCTGAGTGCAGGGGTCTGTACTTCTACAGCAAAGTTCACATCATCTCCGGAGCTCCCAGGGAGGAGACCTGCCTTGACCTTGGAGCTGGGATTCTAAACACTCTGATTCAAAGTATTCGGAAAGTAGTGCACATCATTCACTTTCTTACTGCAAACTGTCTTCAGTAATTACATTAAAAAAGCAGGCTAATGAAAAAATATATTAAGATAAAAAGTCGAGTATATCTGTTATAAAATTACTGGAGAGAGAGAGTATGTGTGTATGTATGTGTGTGTTACATACATCTGATTTTAAATGTAAAACTAGAAGGTCTTCCTAAATGTCAGTGTATTTGTTACCTTGTTACAAGAAACAAATGTAACTTCATTTTATGAAGTTTTTTCATTTTGTGAAGTTTTATGAAACAAATGTAATTCAGCTTTCAAATCTAGAAGCATTTCATTAATAGCTTCAAGGAGTTTAGTTGTTTTAGGTACTTCAGTGATTTATACTTGCTTTTGCTTTTCCCACTAAACTCACCGTCCAGGCCTTCCTCCTCCACGCAGGTGTAATGAGGGCTGAAGGGGTATACCTGCTTCTTTGTGGGAGAAACACAGGTTTATCTTCCTTTTCTTCTGGCCTTCCCATGCACCCAGCTTTCTGCCCTCCTTCTGCAGAGTTCAGTCCATGCCCATAGCACGCAAGCAGGACCCTGCTTACTTTCTCTGGATTGCTTGGAAAATGTATCCTATCCATTGCATTCCTGAGAAGTTTATTTTAAAGTTAGAACCCTTTGCCTGAAGCAGCATATTTGGTCTTTATATTCTCACTGAGTTTATAAATCTTCATCCTCCAAGTGTGTTTGTTTTTGAAAGTGGTCTTTTATCAAGATAGGAGCTGTAAGCAGAGCTAATTTGTTGATTTTGAGTCTTGACATGATCATCTCTTGCCAAATATCTAGCTGGATGACAGGTGAGGTGAGAGTTGCGAGTGTCAGTCTCCTGCTTGGAGAGCAGGATGATGGTCCCCGCACCCAGGGCCACTGTGTCAGAGGCCATGATGACTGCCTGCTTCTAGCCAAAGTCTCACATTTGAGTCCTGATTTTTACTATCCTTTCTTTAATTGTTATCCCTGTGTGGCAGCTGCTTCTCAAGGCTCTAGCTTTTTAAAATTGGTATTGTGCTAATGAAATCTAATGTCAACCCAGGACAGGTTGACAAAAAGTCTAAGAGCTTTAGCTAATATACAGATGAGAGTAGATGTTTCATGTAAAGATTCTCATGGAATATGAAAGACTCCTGCATCATTCTTCACTCCATCTGCCATTTCAAACAATTTCCTCAGTGCAGCTTTGAATCTCACATGCCCTCATCTTTGAATACAGCAACAAATCGTTATTTCATCTCACTGAAGAGGGTTGGTTCACATCCTCAAGGCCCTCACTGAGAGCTGCTCATGAAGGTCCAGATTTGAAATTCTGATGCCCTAAGGCCTCGTGCTGGTTTGGGGATGGGACGGCATTGCTGGCAGAGGAAAGGCTGCTCCCACACAGCCACTTCTTTGTGTACACCTGTACCCTGCTCAGCGCCCTCTGGCTCCTATGTCCTCCACAAAGATCAGAGCCTGGGCCTTAACGTAATGGTTCTGTGAGTGCGGTATCCCTCTCTAGACCCCGAGGCACATGTGTCCAGGTCACAGAGTGACCAATTCCACCAGTGTCCCTCCCTGGGTGCTGATAGAAACCTCAGTGAGCTCAGAATAAGATGCACTGGGACAGGAAAGATGCACTTACTCCCCACTTCCATTAAGTGTGTCCCCGGTCACCCTGCATCATACAGCAGGTAGAGAGTAGGTGCAGGTCTAAGAGACCCTGCCTGCCTCCCAGCTTCGCCTCTGAGTCACTGGGAGAACTGACCTCTGCTCCACTCCCCCAGGAGACAGCTTCAGTTGTGATGTGGAGCTCCACCACCTGACCAACATGGCTGTTTGGAAGTTAGTGTAACACATGATACTTATACACATTCCGCCCGGCACCAAGCTGAACATAGGTATCCATCAAATAAAAACTATTGTCATCATCATCTCATTATTGGCATCTACACATTTTCAGAGAAAAAAGTGCTACCTTTTAGTGGCATAACAACAAAACATTTATATTTTATTGCATATTATATTTTATATTAGCATATAAATATTAGCATAAATATTAAATTTTCATTAGTGTATAGCTATTACTAATATTTTATATTGGCTATGATATTGGCATATTTCTGTTTCATTTTTGACAGTTTTTGGTTAGAGCCAATAACCATAACAATACTCATCTGATCAAGTCTTCCAGTTCCCAACTTACTGAATGATGTCAGGCAGTGAAGTTAAGTTACAACTCCACATGCTGGAGTGTGGCATCAGGGTGGGTGTCAACTGGATTGGCTGAGAGATCTGCTTGCGGGGTTACTGGAGCATGTTTCCAGGTGTATCAGGGTGAGTCGTGGAGGTGTGGCCTTGGGCCGTTCTCTCTGGTGCTGTTTCCCTGCTCTGCTTCCCAGCTGCTGTGAACTAAGTAACTTTTCTCCACAGTGGCCTTCTGCCATGATGGTCCTGCCTTGGAGCCAGTTGACCATGGACTGAATCAACTGAAACCGTGAGCCTCATTAAAACTCTTTCTTTGAGTTGTGGGTGTGAGGCCTAGTGTTCTGGCACCAGAAAAGTTAATTAATGTGTATAGAGTTTATAGATAAGCATGTAATGACAGCCAGAAAGCCTGTGTTACATAATAAAATAATTGCCTTTTACTGGCACATACTATGTGACATACTCTGCAATAAGGAAAACTAAAATGGACCATGTTTATTTTACCCAAATCTCTGAGAGGCAGTTTTCATTACTACAGCAACTTGGAGATGGGCAAACACACCTTGACAAGCTCAGACCTGATTCTCTGGGCACAAACAGAATTTAAAGATATTACCCTATTTTCGTAGTTTTTTCAGAAAAAACGGACAATACCTTACTTCTGTTGAGTGTGAAGTATGCCTTAAGAGAAAGGTGTTTTATATAACTCTTCTATCACTCATTAGTGCTCTTGATTTTCAAAATTTTGTGATTATTTTCTTGCACCCAACCATGAGAGAACCATTAGTAGATTATCATAAGCATGAGAATTAATTAAGCATAAACTCATGGCATAAAGCATAATACGGTGTGGCTAAAAGTTACAGCACATAAAAGGAAGAAAGATATAAAATGTTATGTTGCAGGAATAGGATGGCTTCCTCCTTTAATGTAACCCAAAATTCCCTCAAAAGATAGCAGACGTATATGTGTCGAGCTAAAGATAGTACCTCTTAGGGCAAAAATAATTTAAAAACAGAAGCAGACTTAGAATTGCCAAAAGGACATCACTGAGACAGCACACGGAGCGCAAAGCAGTTGACCAAAGGCTGT